CTACAAGGGACTGGTGAAGAAACGACTCACAGCAGTCATGGAAATCATTCCGAGATGGCTATTTGTTGAGCCAAGAGCCAAGAGCTCACTCTATATCCCGAGGTGTCCTTTATTTTATTTTGCAATCAGACACAAGAGGTCTGGAAATAGACTCGTACATTCGCTCTTTGGTGTACGAAAAAGGGTAGCTCCTCTTTTGCATTTCCATTTCTCTACCTTGCTGTGACCCCTGTTTCTCTTGTTCCTCTTGCTGGCTGGGATTGCATTGCATCAACATCTGCCCCTCGAACCCCGCCCCCCCCCCCCCCCCACACACGCCCACACAGATACAAAAATGGGCGAAACTCTCCAATATATGTACCTCCTGTGTGGTCCTGCGATGCGTTTTATTAAATGTACATCAAGCCGAACAATTTTTTGGAAGCAGAAAAACGGACCTGCACCCACATTGCACCACACAGCAGTTCGTTGGCTGCGCTTCGTTCTCGTCCTCGTCCTCGTTCTCGTCCTCGTCGGGGCTTTTGGGGTCGCCTTTGAGGTCGCTCGTCGTCGTCGTTGTCGTTGTCGTTGTCGTCGCTCGTTGTCACGAGCCAACAATTTTGTGCTGATTCTATTTTGTCCATAACTCAGCCAGCGACCGAATCCAACCAGCCTCCCTTTCTCTCTCTCTCTCTCTCTCTCCTTCTCTGTCTCTCTGGGAGTGTGTGTACCCATCTCTTTCTGGCACGCTACATATGCAGACCATCTCTTTCTAGTCGTGCACCCATCCAGCAGCCAAGCAGCCAAGCAGCCAAGCAACCGCGTATCCCGCGTTGCCCGATGGCCAAAATGCCACTTAAAGTTTAGTTCCGTTCCTCGCAGTATTCGGTTGTTGTCCAGCCCCTTCTCTCTCACTCGTCGCTTGTCGCTTGTCGCTCGTCGTCGAAATGTAGGGAAAACCAAGTGAAAAGCTAAGGAAAAGCAACCTCAAACTTGGGCGTCCCAGAGAAGCCCCAGAAGCAAGGCCAAGTCAAGCCCTCAAGGATTCTTATCCCGCTTAGCAAATGCTTTAAGGCTTTCGACGCTAAACGATAGACAGCGAGACAGAGCGAGAGCAAGAACGAGAAAGATTGAGGAAGTGACAAACACCAGCCACAGACAGCAACAGAGAGAGCGAGAGAGAGCGAGAGAGAGCAAGAGAAGAGCATGATGATGCTCCGAAATCTACTGGTAAATATTACGAGTAATTATCAACAAAAGAAAATTACTTTTACTTAGAAAACCCAACCAACAAAAAAAATGGTGGTCTACTCGTTTGTACCTAGTATAAGAGTGTGTATTTAGTATAAGTGTTTTTCCCCCCCCCTACAAGTGGAGTGTTTTGTGTGTGTAGATGATTGAATGTGGCATGTGCAACAAGTGGAAACGAGGAGAGCTCCTCGAGAGAGATTGAAAGACTTTGATTTGCTTTAGAAATTACCCATAAGCGAAAGGACACTTTTGTTCACGAAATGCTCACATTTTGAGTGCAAAAAATTGACAAAATTTAACAATTTTATCGAAATATATATCTTTTTTTTTATGAAGTTTAGACACTTAAGAAAATACTTAAAAGAGAGGGACTTTTTTTTAAGTTAAAAAAAAAACCTTATTCCAGTAAAATTCAATCTTTAATCTATTAAAAATATTAGCATTTTAAATTTAAATGTATTTATTTATCAAAGCTTGTAATCTATAAAATCTCTACGTAAAAGTTCGCTTGAAGAATATTTGAGGATTTATTTCTCTTGATTTTCGCTGAGAGCGCACTCTCTTGTGGATGTTTGCTTGCAACATGCCACAGATCCAACCCCAACAAGCTTCAAATGGGATTTGTTGTCTTCCCAACGTTTATCGTTCATCGGCTGTTGTTGGCCTCCTAACTGTGTCAGAGCTGGTTCTGGGAGTCTGAGGTCTAGACGGAGAACCAGTTGAAGAGCAGAGGGAGATGGAGACGTAGCAGGAGAAAGGGGAAAGGGGAAGCAGGTGGGAAAAGCGTTAGGCAAACGGGGGACTTGATGGAAACTTAAGATTTTTTTTTTGCTTTGAAGTGGAAACCTTTCTCGTTGCTCTTTTTTGAGTTGGAATGAAGATTTATGTTCCGATTATTAAGGAAGTACAGATATCTATCAGTTTTCATGGGAAATCTCCGGCGGGGGTGTCCTACCAAAAGAGCTACAAAGTAAAATGGGAAAAAATAATATGTATGTATATTATACGCACGTATGCATTTATGTAATGCAGAGTTTTCCACACATTAAGAACCTGTTTTCGCAGAGGGAGCAAAAACAGGCACAGAAAAGAGGAATCGAGATTAAACATAATAACGAGACAAGAGTCTCGTCGTCCAAGAAGACAGTTGTCAAAGTCCTTTCCCGCTCTCGTTGGGTATCCCCCCCCTAACGTCGTGCCGTGCATCTCTCCTCTCCCTCTATCCCCTCTCTCCTTTCTCCACTGTTCGTTAAACTATTTTGCGTGGCGCTGTGTCGCTTGTTCGTTGTCTGTCTCTCTGCCTGCCTCTCTTTCTGTCGCTTGTCGTTTGTCTGTTGTGTGTGTCTCTCGCTCTCTTTCTCTGTGTTTTTGTGCTTTTTTCTTTTTTTTTTTTTGCGCTGCTGCTTTCCTTCTTTCTATTGCTGCTTTTCGAGCAGCGTCAACGCAGGCAGCGCAGCGGCTGCTCTGCGCCTGCACACACACACACACACACACACACACACGCACGCACACAGGCAGACGAGGCGCACCAACACACACGAAGAGTCTTTCATGTATTTACTACATTCCTCAGTACTTGAAGCGCCTCCGGAAGTGATGGTTTTCCGGCGCGCATTTCGAAGCATAAGCCAGCAGCTGGTCGTCCGTCCCCCTCTACGCGGCAGCATCACTTTTTGTTTACCCCATCCCCCAACGCCCCTGGCGCGCACACACGCACACGCACACGCATTTGTGTGCAAATAAAACAAAGAAGAAACAAAAAGGCACAAAGTAAAAACCAAGTACAAATTAACGCTACACTTTCGGGAGCGCAACTGCCTGTGCTATGTTGCTATGTGATGAGTGTCGAGTGATTACAGAAACATAAGAGCCACAAGAAGAAGAAGCGGGAAGAGAATTATATTAAGAAGAAGAAGAAGCAAACAGCAATAAAGAAGCAGCAGCCGTGCAGTGTGTTGTGTGGTGGAAAAAAGAAGAAGAAATGCGCACCAAAAGGAACGCCAGCGATTTGGGCCTCTTGCATCGCACTTGCATTGTCGGCGGAAAATCGGTGAGCATGAATAAACCCCCCGCCCACCCAAAAAAAAACTCGAATCAAATTTACATTCAATAAACACCAAATTCCCTCTCTCTCTCTCTCTCTCTGGCTCTGGCTCTGGCTCTCTTAACAACAAAAGCAACCACACATGCGCGCCAGAGAGAGAGAGAGAGCGAGCGAGCTTTACTCTCGCTCTATTTGTCCCTCTCGCCTAACTGTATTTGGCTCGTCAATCCCCACACACACTCGCTGGTTTTGTGCGCGCGACTTTTTTTTTTTTTTTTTGTGTAAGCCGCTTGGTTTTTCGCCTTCTGAGAGCCTGTTACTTTCTGTAGACTGCAGCGTCATTGCAGCGAAAACATTGGGCCGCCGCATTTAGTATTATATTTTACTGGGGTTTGTTCTTCTCTTTAAATACCGATTTCGTATGAAAATTGCACGACCAAAAGGTCCCAACCGCAGCGAATTTTGAACAAAAAACAAAACTTGATGGTCCCACCACAAAATACCATCCCATCCCATCCCATCCCATGTTTAAAATATTGCCCAGCACCAAAGAGTGAATGAGCGTCACCGAACGAGACAGAGACAGCGACAGCGACAGCGACAGAGAAAGAGCGACCGAGCCACCACAAGAGAGCAGAGCGAACGTGTGAGGTATTGCGGTTGTTTATTGTTTTTACTGGCCGCTGGGGGGCGCTAATTTGCTTGACGGCGTCGACAAGCTTAATATGAGATGGGAAACGTTACAGTGGAAATTCTCTAAAGTGCACGAACAAAAATTCACCGGAAATTTACAATTAAATTAAAATAAAGCAAGCGATATATATATTTTGATCAAAGACATCTCCCAGTTCTCTCCCATCTCTTTTTTTCACTCACCATCAGGTGAATACTGTATTCGTTTTTGCCATATGATTTATGGATAAAACGAGACAGCTACGACGACTGCACTGCCATCAAATGTTGACAAATATGCCATATGTATATATTTTGTACATATTTTGTTTTTGGCAAGCCAATTAACATGATTTATACAATTATTCATAATACATGCGAGTATACAGCCGCTTTGTATTCCCTCTTTCCGCCCCCCCCCGTAAACCCTTAAACATTCAATTATCAGAGTTTTTTTTCGGTGTTTCTCTTTCTCTGGGAATTTTGTTGGTTTTTCTGTTTTTTCTTCATTTTGATTCTCTTTGCTCTTTGCTCTTTGCCTTTGCTTATCTCGTTTTGTGTCCTGCTTGTTGCTGTTGCTGTTGCTGATTTCTTTCCGACTCGTTATCCGGTTCTGGGCCCCCGGGGCGGAGCAGGGCGGAGTGTCGCCTGGGGTTCTGTTCGGACGGTTTGCCTGCTCGCCTTTCCTCGGCACCCAGCACTTGGCATACGCGTCATACAACAAAATTTGTGCAAATTTCGCTCATAAACCGAGTGTAGGCGAATATCTATTTGAATATCTGAATATTGTCTACACAGATTACACCAAAGAAGGCCACCAAAGTGGAGCCCGGCATTTAAAGAGTTTAATTTTCGTTTCGGTTAACATTTTAGAAGCTGCTTACTTCTAACGGCAACGATAAAGCTTACCGAAGCCAGAGAGCCGTCGAGAAAGAGAGCCAAATTATAACAGTTTCTGTTTTGTGTCGCTCTGGGTTGTCAAATCATAACCAGATAAGTGGAGAATATTTTAGCGAAACGCTTGTTGTCAAGAGAAACCGTTTTCACAAGAAAATATTCCACGACGATGGCAAAATATTTATTTTTCTGCTTAGGATAATTCTATAAACGTATTCAAATTAATTTGTTTGTATTATTAGAACTCTTGACAACCCTACAATCAATTCCTCCCTCTCTATCTCTCATTTTGTCGCTCGCTCGGTGGCCCACATACATGTCGGCTCGGCTCTCCTCTCTGCCGACACGACGCTTTGCGGCGAGACTCGACTCTCTTGCTGCTCCGCCTGTTTCCCTGTTAAATTGGCGGTTACACGCGCGCGTCAGGTACACGGATGCACCGCACACCAAGCGCAGACGACGGCACACGCATCGGTTAGACGCTGTCGCGGCATTCTGTTTCCTATTTTTCCCCTATTGGGTGGTGGTTGTTTGGCTGGCTATCGTATCGTATCGTATCGTATCTGGTCGCTTCGCTCGGTTCGGGTGTCCCCAGGTCTGGTGCCGTGGTTCCGTTGATTTGCTGCTTATCAGGCGACTCATCGATTTTTTTTTCTCGTTTTTTTTTTCTTCAGCTGGTGCTCTCTCGCGCTCGCCGAGTGGACCATCCACTCTCTCATTCTGCTTGCTCTCTTCGCTGTGTTGTTTTGCTTTGCCTACTTTCATATGTATATTCTGCCACCCTCTCTGATTCGTTTGGCGCTCGTTCTCTCTCTCCCTCTCGCTTGCTTGTCCACTCTCTCCCGAGCTGCTGCTGCTTGCTGTTTCTGCCGACTGCTCTGCTGGCAATTGCTGTGCGCCTGTTCTTTCCCTCGAATATCGAATCTCGATTTCGACGAGATTTTGTTACTTACGACAGACAGTCGTCCCAAGTCCAACCATAACTGCTCAGCTCTGCCACTGATCTCTCTCTCTCTCTTTCTCTACCCATCGCTCTGTCTCTCTCGTGGGTACATTTGAAATTATTTATTTATTATATAGATTACAAATTCCTTGTTGCCTAAAGCAAAAGTGGTTTGGAAAAAAAAAAAATAATAATAATATAATAAAGAGAGACTGACTGGGTCGGGTCTACCCGGGTCTGGAATTCGTCGTCGTCGGTCGTCGCACTCACTCACTCACCTTCACCACAAAAACCTCACCACGGAGACGACGACGACCACGACGACGACGACGACAACAACATATGTTGACCGTCGTCTCTCTCTCACTCACTCATTTGCCATATTTAATTCTATTTAAATGAAAACGAACTGAAACCGATTACAATCCCCTCCCCCCGTGGCGCACGACCACGAGTCAATCCGACCAGACCCGGGCCAGACCCAGACCCAGACCCCGGCCAGACGTGCAAGCAAGCGTCGCGCCATGCAGCCAGCAAGCAACTGAATTGATAACAACACCCGATCCGACCCGACGAACGACAGCGACGGCAACGACGACGACGCCTGCGACGGCAACGAACCCCAACATTTCCCCAACGACAGCGAGCAGCGAGCAGCGACAGCGGCAGAGGCCCCAGCCAGCGCCACTCAACAGTCAAGTGCTTTGCTTGCCTTAGCCAAAGCAGCGTGTGAAATATTTCCCATACAGTGAAATAGGAGGGCAACAAAAAAAAAAAAAAAAAAAACCACCGAGAAGGAAAGTCGACGATTAGGATACCCCTTTGCAGAGCCGTAGGGAAGGAAAACCTATGAAATTATAGGATATTTTAGCATACAGTGGCCACTAGTCTGTGTAAATATATTATTCATTATATTCATATTTATTGAGGGGTATCCAAAATACACACACAACAAGCAAAATAGCAACAAAAAGAAAAGTAAAACCAACAGCAACAGCAACAGCAACAACAACAAAATTGCAAAGCTCTCAATGTGCGCACGCCCCCCAAAGCACACGGCGAAAAGCGTTGAATGAATGCTTAAACAGCAACACCGACGAACACCAGAACGTACACACACACACACGCACACACACACTATACAGACAGTGGAAGCCAGCCAGCCAGCCTCTCCACACAAATCCGAAACCAGAACACATGATTAGCCTAGTAAAACGAGGCATTGGTGGGTGTACGGGGCGCGGGCGCGGGCGCGGACGCACGCTGAGTAAAGCTTTTGGGACGGGAGTTGTGCTCTCAACGGAAAAAACGGCCACAGCAACGAGATAGCACAGTGGGACTGGAGCAGAAGTCGACAAATAATAAGCTAACATTTATTTAAGCACACAAATAGTAATAACAAATTGTTACCAAACAATGGACAGTGGAGCTACAGCTGGCGTTGAGTGTTCAAATGTATATATGTGTATAACTTGAATGATTCATGGGAGCAATAATATATAACCCCATAACTTTATGATCAAAAATTTGTAATTATCTTTGAACTAATATTTGAATAATATTTTGTTAAAAAAAAAACTTCAATCTGCAGCAATTTAAATTATTACAAGGAAAAAAAAATAGGTCCCCATAACTTTATGATCAAAAATTTTGAGTTATATTTTAATTAATATTTGAATAATATTTCGTTAAAAAAAAAAACTTTATGATCATAACTTTATGATCAAAAATATTGAATTATCTTTTAATTAATATTTGAATATTATTTTGGTAAAAGTTCCATTTGCAGCCGCAAACTTGTTTTCATCTGAAAAAAAAAAAAAATATCTCATTTTTTTTCTAACATTTTGATAAATAAATAATAATAATTGCAATAATCCCCATTTAGAGTCCTGCTTCAACTGTTATGCATTGCCCCGATAAGTATGCTAGTCCATGGCATAGCCCTTGGCCAATTTGTCCCACTGTGCGCCACTGTCTGCCCGCTCAGCTATTCCATTCCTTTTGTGCAAGCAATTGAAAGAAGCGAAAAACACAACAAAAAAAACCGGTTGCACTGTTTACCGACATTTTCCGCTACGTTGGCAGAGCGCACTCAAAGCAAGAGAGTGATTGTCTGTGCGAGGAGTGTGCGAGGGAGAGTGACAGAGCGGGCGATGCGATAGCTGGCGAGGAAGGTCGTCGTCGTCGTCGTCGTTGTCGTTGTCGTTGTTGGGCATGCCGAACAAGTGCTCGTGTCGTCGTTTGCCCCGACGTCGTCAGGCCATAACCGGAAGGTCGCCTTTACCACAACATTTATTATGGAAAATCGCGTAATCACTGTCGTATCACATTTTTTTTTTCTCGTCGTTGTTGTTGCTTCGCTCTCTTGCTCTCTCAAGTCCCGTCCCTGTTGGGTTTCGTTCGTTCCCGTACGGTCGTTCCGTTCCGTTCGGCTCGTTGTTCTTCCACGCCACCTCGCATCTCTCTCTCTCTCTCGCTCTCTCTGTGTCTGTTTCCCTCTCCCTTGCTCTTGTGTCTGGTTTGGGTATATTTTTAGCAGCAGACGACTTCAAACTTGTTGCAAGTTGTTGCTGCCTGTTGGCGTGTGTTTGATGTGCGAACTCTGTGCAAACTTTATGGTTTTTGTTGTTGTTGCTTTTGCTATTCCTTTTTGCTTGTTCTTCTTCGGGAGTACACTTTTTTTTTGTATTTATTTGTATTTTTTTTTTTCTATATTAAAGCTCTCTTTCTTATTTTATGGCACATTTTGTTGGGTTCGTGGCTGATTAAATGGAAAGAAAAATTCTGCCATGGGACTTTCTTTCTCTCTCACTCTGTCTTGCTTTTTGGGTTCGCGGCAAATTTTTTGGGGGAAGCTTTTTTGTTGTTGGTTTTGTCTAATAAGTAGCGAAGCGGAGCTTTACCTTTACACGGTGGGCGGGTGGTCGTGTGGGGGGGGGAGGCACATTGGAGGGCCGAAAATTTACGCGCACACCCACACATTGACGCAGACACAAGTTCCAGTTCCATGGAAGCCGCCGCCACCGCCACCGCCGCCGCTGCCAACGTAAGCTAACGGCATATTCCAATGCAATTTTATTCAGTGCAGAGGCGTGGGCATGTGGGGGGAGGCGCAGCCCATGGGCGTGGGTGTGTGTGTGTGGGATGGGTACAGAATTGTCCGATGGGGTTTCTGGTTCTGCCGAGGCCAATGGGTGGTTGGGTGGCACTGTCGCGCGGCCATGGGCGTAGCTGCAGTTTTGGTGGTTGCTTCCCCGGGAAATACCGTTACGTTGTATATGTATATATCATTTTCTTTCCTTCTTCTTTTTTTTTTTTCTTGCCCTGGAAAAGTGCAAGGATTTTTCCTCCTAGCGTTGCACCCCCCCCACTGGGATGTGTGTGTGTGTGTGTGCATTGGAAGGCAGTGCGCTGAGGCCTGCCAACTTCAGTGGCATGCTGCATGCGTGGACAGTGCCACACCCCCCCCGGTACCGTACTGACCCGTAATCGTATGTTTATTCCAATGTCCAGGGCCGTAATAGTGGCAGCCTCCCCCCCTCCCCACCCGTCGGTTGTTTGATGATTTGCAAAGTGGATTTTGTGTATTTGACGATTGTTCGACTTGGAACTACTGCTGCTGTCGCTGCTAGTGCCATGCAGTTCTCCTACTCGTTATTGTTGGATATATTTTGCAAAAACTGGTTTACACTCTCTCCCTCTCCCTCTTGCTCTCGCTCTCCCCCTGTCTCTTTCGCACTCTTGCAAAAGCTCTCCATCGGTGAATGTGTGTGCGTGTGTGTGTGTGTGTGTAACCCTTTTAAGCTTGGATTGCTCTTTGCACTTCCTTGCATTGCATTGCCCAATAATGCATATACACTTTGCCTTCCCTTTATTGTTTTTTTTTGTTCTTCGGTTTTCTCCATTCTTTTTTTCTTACATTTTTTTGGTTCTTTTTCTTTGTTGCTCACTCAATTTCAAGGCTTGAATCGATAAGTGGCCGATAGTTTATCGATTATCAGTGTGGAAAAGCAGCTAAATCTGTGGCAGGCCTCTCATAGGTCTCATAAATTTACATTGCCTGTCCAATGGTTTCGATAACTGGAAAATAAATAATCGATCACACGTTTCAACGGCACCAAAAGACACCTGTTTTTATGGTGGGCTTTTAGGACCTCTAAATTTCTCATACCACTCCAGTCGAAAGAATGGAAACCTCTCCCGTGAAACCCAACCTTTTACCTTTTGTATCATTACATCTCACAGATGATATCCATTCCCTTAATGGGACATTCTTTATTCATGGAATCTCCAGGGCACAAGTATTATTCTACGGTTCCTTTCGGCCATTGTACGAAGCATTGAAATGGAATTGAATCTTTAGATTTAGATTATGAATATTCTTTTCAAGAATTTGTGGCCGTTTCTTTATGATGAATTCACACGAAATGTGCCCCCCCTGGGATAGAGCTTGATGGACAATTCAGAGAGAGAGGGAGAGAGAAAGAGAGAGGTTTCATATGTACATATGTACATGGGAGTACATTGAGAAGGTGTCGTCTTGCGCCAATTATAATTAGCAACGAAAATGGCCGAAAATTTGCAGGCCCTCCCCTGTGGGGCGCCAAATGATTTTTGGTTAACAGTAGAGAAGCTCTATCCACTATCACTTTTGCATATTTCATGCACAGATACAGACACAGATTCGTATGTGGTGTGGGGTGAGGGGTGAGGGGGTGCAGGGGGGGGGGGGGGGGTTCTGTGTGCGTGTTGAGTACTGTACACAAGTTTTGCAGTCACAGAGTCCATTTTGCTACACTTAAAGTGCGCGCCCGTTGTAGCCAAGCAGCCAACAGCCAACAGCCAACATCTTTGTTGTTGTATGTGCGTGTGGCATGTGGAATATTATGCGCCGCGCGCATATACACACACACACAAACACACACACGTAGAGAATGAATCCCCCAATCCAATCCACAAAACGACGCATGCCGCGCAATGCGATTGCGACGTCGTCGTCGTTGTCGTTGTCGTTGTCGTTGTCGTCGTCTCGTGGTTGTCGTTGTCGGCCACTTCATCATCGACAAGCAGCAGCAGTTTGCCAGTTGCCAGGCAGGCAGTTGGCTAAAACAAAGCAGAGCTGGCTCTGGCTCTGGCTCTGGCTCACTGCCCGAACCCGAACCTGGACCTGGCCCTGGACCCCCCCTCGCAGCAGTGGCATCAGGACTCGCTGCTTGCTGCTGCTGCTGCTGCTGCTGCTTCCACCATTTCTCTCTGCCTCTGCTGCTGCCCGATAATACAACAGCGGCAACGCCAATGACAGCCCAAAGTGCTCTTGTTGTTGCTTGTTGCAAGGAGAGTACCCTCGAGAATGTGCCACCAATTTGGTTGCTGCCTGCCTGCCTGCCTCTGCTGGTGGCATGATGGGCTAAATCTTGTTGCATATTTGATAACATTACGCTGACTGCTGGCAACACTATTCATTGATTATTTATGGTAGGACTTTACAGATTTTTTTGGTCAATCTTTTGAGGGGGGGGGGGGATTAAGGAGGATGCTCAGATTGTTTAAATTCTGAGATCCTGAAATTCAACAAGAAAGCAACGTTTTGGTGAATATATCGGTATATTTTCAATGCGATTCCCCTTTGCAATCGAATCGCTTGTGTCGTTTTGCTTATGGCACCTTTTTGGTACCATATTTTCCAGGTAATCCCCTACTTCGATGCTCTCACATGGCATTCCTTTGGCTGCTGCAGGCACACAAGTGTTGCCACCTCCTTCTGCTTCTTCTTCTTGTGCTGCTTCTCATTTGCCTAGTGAATGCTTGCTGCCACACGGTTGAAGCGAGTGGAGTGTGGTGGCTGTGCGATGGATGGGGCCTGGATGATGGGTAGTAGTCCTATGTGTGTGTGTGTGTGTGTGTGTGTGTGTGTGTGTGTGTGTGTGGTAAGGTGTGTTAGAGAGGGGGGTAACCACGATGAGGCCGCGAATCTCTCTGA